TCTCTCTGTCTCTCTCTCTCTGTCTCTCTCTCTCTGTCTCTCTCTCTCTGTCTCTCTCTCTCTCTCTCTCTCTGTCTCTCTCCCTCTCTCTCTCTCTCTTTCTCTCATCACTGCTTTGATCATCCTGCAGTGGCTTGTCCTGCTGTCTTGCTCCAATGAGCAACACCTGTGCCAACAGCAGCCACCTGGCATTACTGAGCTGTTTGCCCCACATCTGGAGAAGAAATATTAGCAACTCCATCAAAAAGCTTCAAGAAATAGCTGGCAAATCCTTTCCAGATGGGGAAATGTTCCCCTGGGCAAAGATGCTCTGATCTCAACCCCTGCCTCTGTGTTAAAGCTGGAGAAAGACTGTGTCGTTCAGTACTGATTCCCCCCAGCAGTGTCCCAAATCAGCTCCACTCAACCTAGCCTGGCCTGCTCTTCTGGTTTCCCAGAAAGCACCTTCCTTCCTGTGTCTCTAAAAATAGATATCTCCAAGTATCTTTTTATCACCAGCAATGATAGCCAACATTTCACTCCATTTGGTCAGCCCTGGCTTAGTGTTAGCTAGAAAAATAGTAACTGATCAATCTTTTAAGCAAGACAACTTGTTAAACTTGGCGTCTTAGTTACTGATTTGAAATGCTAATTGCAAGTAGACGCACATCTGTTTTTGTTTTTATAATATCCATCACTTACTTATAAAAAAAAAAAATTTGACTTCAGCCAGAGTTTCACAGATGCTGAGAAAGTGCTAGGCCTATGATATAGGTCACCAGTCTTTTTTGATGTTGTTGTTTTTGATCCAAAAATGTTTTACTATGTAGCTTAGGTTATCCCCAACTTGCTGTATAGCCCAGGCTGATCTCTGGCTCCTGACGCTCCTGCCCTTTCTTCTGGGGTGCTCGGGTTGCAGGCATATGCCAACATACCTTGTGCTTGTTTGTTTGTGTTTTTTTGGTTTGGTTTACGTTTGTCTGTCTTTCAACACCACATATAATGCTAGGTTAGACAGATAATGTACCCAAAGCTCTGAGTGTCATTATAAACTTAGAGGACAATTTAAAGTTATCAAGAAGAGCTTTGAAGGAGAACACTCAGTCACTAGCTGTTAGTTCTTTTTTAGATGACTAGAATTAATATTAATCACAAGAGATAAAAAAACAAATCTTAGGCTTTAAAGCTCTTGCTTAGAAATTTTTAAAATACTTATAGAAGATCAAACCAGTTTCCATGGGCTAAAATGCATCCCTCTGCATGCCGAAGGTCAAGCGTGACTCTAAGGCAGTAGAAAGTGGGCGGCCCTGAACTTCAAAGCCTGTCAGTAGTCCTTTGCAGCAGAGACAGGAGACTGAAACTCAGGGGAGATTAAATGACTTGCTCGGGGATCACACAACTGGGAAGTGACAGCCAGCACCAAATGCAGGGCTCTCAGTGCTAATCCACTACAACCGATCAGCCTCACACAGTCCAAGTTCCAAACGGCCTTCCCGACCCAACAGTTACCAGACACACAGGCAGAGCAGCAAACTTACCGTATGGAAAGTGGACACCGCCCACTCCTGTCTCCAGGCCTAATGAGGCAGCTGTGGGTAGACTATTCAACTTTACATCTTTATTACATCAAGATGCAGCAATTACTTCCTGGTTATTGTCTTTCTCTTCCCTTCCTGTCTTCTTCCCTATGGTCCCACCATCTCTGTTCCCAACGTTATTCTCAGTTAAGCTAATAAACCAAGATGAAGAGTTGGTACAGTCCCTAAGGTCCTGGAAGTCCTGGAGGTCCTGGTGGTCCTGAAGGCGCCACTTTGTTGACTCTAGGCAGTTGGAATTTTCCAACCTGATGCTGACACAGTTTGACTGTTTTTGTTTTTTGTTTTTGTTTTTTACTTACCCAGCTGAGACATCATGGTCACGTCCTCTTCAGCACAAGAATCAGGAACACACACACCCACACTATAGTCTGTTCCATCCTGGGAAACACAACGCCACAGCACCCTTTAAGGTCAATGTTTGCAGTATATATGCATGCTTACTCATGCATTTATTCATGTGCATGTGCATTTATGTGTATGTGTGCATGGTGTGTGTTTCTATATGTGTATTTATTCTTGTGTGTGTATTCATGTGTGTGTATTTATTTGTGTGTATATGTGTGGTGTGTGTGTCTGTGTATTTATTTGTGTCTGAGCATGTATTTATTCTTGAGTGTGTATAATTATTCATGTGTGTGTATATTTACTCATGTGTGTTTCTGTTTATTTGTGCGTATCTGTGTAGACCAGATAGCCACACAGAGCCTTCTCCCAACATTCTTCACCTTTTTTTTTTTTTTTTTAGCTCAGGTACCCTGAAGCTCATTGATTTCAGCTAGAGCAGCTGGCCAGTGACATTATGGGACCTGCCTGTCTCTGAAACAGCTACCACACACATGCAGACATACCATCCAGAAGCTGGGGTTATAGACCCCACCTAGTCTTTACATGGGTGCTGGGGAATCTACCCAGGGGTCTTCACACTTCTAAAACAGTCACTTCTTTTGCTTTCTGAGGCAGGGTTTCATGTAATTCAAGAAAGTTTCCTAATCCTCCTGCCTCTGTCTCCCCAGTCCCAGGATTACAGTCATGAGCTACCACAGGCATGATTATTTCTAAGGAAGCCTGTCACTGTCCTAGCGTACAGCAGGCAGTTGGGGAGAGCGGCATAAGGGAATCTGTGAAAGACAAAAGGTTTCTGACTTCTCAAGACACAGTCTTGCCTTCCAGGACCTTCCAGGCAAATTCGGAGTATCAGATTCACCCAATGAATTAAGGAGTTCCACAGCGCATTCCTTCCGCCTCCAGGTGAAAGGTCATAAAAACTGCCTCCCCTAAAATCATTTAAAGAGTTATCAACATGCAATTTCTGAGTCACGATTCACATATATAAAATAAGAGATTTTATTTTTTAAAAAATCAATAACTAGAATGCCCTTCTTAATAAAGATAAGCCAGATCATAAATACAAATTTCTGAGCCAGTTCTTCCTACTACACAATGGACATGATGGCGTAGGACTGAACTTCTGCTCTGAATCAAAATCATTCATCTGAAAATGACCCTTACACAGTCATCCTGACCAGAGGCTCGGGGACAACATCCCTGCCTCCATGGCTCACCACTGTAAGGGTCTTTGAGCACTGGGAACAGAGAGATCCTGTTTCCTGTCACTTCAGATCATGGTTTCTAACTAGACAGCAATGTAATTTTATTTCAGTCATGTGTGACACATGTAAAACCTATTTTGCATTTAATGAGAGGTTGAGTGATGTCTATGCTTCTATCTGAACCGTAAAGGATTAAATCAAGTCAACTCCAATCAGTGGGCTATTAAAAACATTCCTTTAATTAAGGACACCATGTTGGGTGAGAATGGGGATGGGAGGTGAATCTGAGAATAGTTAGGGAGGTGGTGGGGGTGATGAATATCAAAATATAGTGTATGAGTATATGATTATATGAAATTCTCAAAAAACAATAAAAATATTATATTCTTTTGATAAGATTGAATGAGCCCTAAAATGATATAGTCAGCTGTATTATTAAGTATCCATGAACTGTAGCTCATCTGCTTGGATAGCCACAAATTCATATACAGAGCTCTGTTTCTGGGGCCAGAGCAATGGATAACTAGATCCCAGACTCCAGACACTGCTCCAGAAATTGATGCAGTCAGGGGCTGGTGCTTAGCAACTGGGTTCAGACTGCCTTGGTTTGATCCACGTTCCTCCAAGTAATAACTAAGTAGAAAGGAATTGAAGTTGGAACTTATTGGCAGGGGATGGTGAGAGATCGGAAAGCCCAAATACAGCAGATTCCGCCCCCATCCCAACAGAGTGGACTGAGATGGGCAATGATCCCCAAGAACATGTATAGAAGATTGTTGTTCAAATTGCTGCCCACCGTTGACCTTGGATCCCCCACTTGAAGGTCTACCAGGAGGTCTTTCCATACAGTGTGGAGGGAGGATTATCTGAACAGCTTACATGGTCTGTAACAAGTGCCTCTTAGGATGTCATTCATTCCAGAGAGACCGAGCACGCTCCCACCAACTATTTAAAATCAAGTTTTAGCTGGGCATGGTGGTGTGCACCTAAAACCCCAACAACTGGAAGGGAGAATCTAGAGCTCTCCCTTCACGACCCCTTTGAGAGGATTGAACAGCCCTTTCATAGGGGGTCAGATATCAGATAGCCTGCATGTCAGATATTTACATTATAATTCATAACAGTGGCAAAATTAGAGTTATGAAGAAGCAACAAAAATAATTTTATGCTTTGGGATCACCACAGCATGAGGAACTAGATTAAAGGGTCATAGCACTAGGAAGGTTGAGAACCACTGGCCTAGAGGATCAACTGCTCACAGTTTAAAGTTAGGGCTTCACTGCAAGCTCCAAGCCGTCATCTCCTATATAGTGAGACCTTGTCTCAGAAAGAAGCAGAAGAGTAAACTAAAATCTAGTTGTCGATTGCTTCCTGTGAGAGCTCTTAACAGTTTCTTTTTGTGGTTTCAGTTAGGGAATACAGTTGATGGAGTACTATGATGTGTCTCTTACAACCTCGTCCTTTGAGCACAAACACACTGAGTTCCCTCCACTCACCTGCAGGATATGAAGCTTGCAGTACTGCCCCCGGAAACTCCCCCTGGGGCTCTGGGTGGAAAGGCACTCGCTGTAGGACCCCAGCCTGTCCACGTTGCCATTAAGAATGTTGCTTCCGAGCTTTCCCACAGAGTCGTACACTGAATGCCAAAGCAGAGGTTTGAAGAATTAGTTTCCCTAGGCTATGCTACTTACAAATGAATTATGAGGATGTGCATTTGAATCCCCAAAGCAAATGTAAAAAGCTTAGCACGGGGGCTTGTGCCTCTAACTATGTGTGTGGGTTTCTGTAGAAGCCAGAGGAAGGCTTTGGGTCCCCCTGAAGCTGGAGATATGGGCAGTTGTGAGCTGCCTGGCATAGGTGCCAGAAATGGAATTCTGGTCCTTTGAAAGGGCTACAAGCGTTCTTAACCACTGAGCCATAGCTAGGTCCTCCTTATTGTTCTTGATGTTCTTAATTTCAGCTCTGTCCAGGCACACCGGCATAGATTTCATTTACCTGTCAGGTTTGGCGTTTCCTGAGCCTCTTTCCTCTTCCCTCCCGGAGAAACCATGACTACTATTTGCCCAAACATTCTTTTCTTTCCTTTGCTATATTTAGTTCTGTTTCTGGGTCCTGTTATCATCCCAGTGTAGCATTTTAATCCCCCGTCTCTGTGTTCTTCCTTTCCTCTCTTTACTTTCCAGCCATTCACCCTTTCCTGATCTATTTTGAGAGGACTAGGATTTGAGCTAGCCTGCCAAATTTTCTTCATCTTTATCCATCTTAATATTTACTCTATGTATTGTGTTTTGATATCAACTGCAATATTTTTACTGTCTTTACTATCTCTTTATATAGAGTTATTTATTTTATATACACAAGTACATTGTTGCTGTCTTCAGACACACCAGAAGAGGGCATTGGAGGGCACTGGATCCCGTTATGGATCCACATGGATTCCCATGTGGGTGCTGGGAATTGAACTCCGGACCTCTGGAAGAGCAGTCAGTGCTCTTAACCGTTGAGCCATCTCTCCAGCCCTATCTTTAATATCTTAACAGTTCTTGGCTTTTCACATACATGTGAATGCATGCTCTGTATTACAATATTCTCTCCTTCGATTTGATCATGCTTATTTGCTTATTTTGAATTCCTTGCCAGCCCACTGACTCCCGTGATTCAGTTCATGTAGCACAGGAATTTACTGAGCCTGTCATTCTCTGTGCTGTAGCCTGCGCACGCTTCTTCCCTTTGTCTGTTGAGTACAGTGAGAGACGTGTAAAGCCAAGCCCCAAGCGGACCTGTTCCTTCAGGATTTTAAGGACTGTAAAGAAAAAAGATTCTAACTATCTTTGAAGGAATGGAAGTACAGCAAAGAGACATTTGTGGAGCTGGAGAGCTGGCTCCTTGGTAAAGAGCACTGGCTTCTCTTCCAGAGGACCCAGGTTCGATTCCCTGCACCCACATGGCAGCTTGCAACTGTCTGTAACTCCAGTTGAAGTCCTCTTCTGGCCTCTTCTTGCAATCCATGTATGTAGTACACAGACATGCAGGCAAAACATGCATAAGCATAAAATTATTTATATATATTATATATAATTTACTTTATTAGTTATTATTATATATCATTATCTATTATATAATTATTAATAATTACATATTATTATATAATATATGGTATTATATATTATATATTATATAATATATATTCTTCTGACATGTGATCCTATCTCTAAATTATTAAAGAGACTCTTGTGACTTGTTCCCCCCTTCAGCTGTCAGACTACTGAGACAATGAACCTCAAGAAATTAGACCTTTCCCAGGAATCTCATTCTGGAAGACAGAAAAGGCTGGAGCCAGAAGGGGTGCTTGCTCCTGGAAAGAGATGAAGCATTGATGACAGTTTGTTAGCCCACCTTGCAGGAGACACTACAGAGAGACAATGCTGATAAACAGGACCATTTTGACCAAGACCCTCAGACATGTGTACCATTTTACCTTCTACTTAAACCTAAACTTCATATCAGGACCCTGAAAATGTTGGGGGAGGGGAGAGCAGGCCACTGGACCTCTTTGTTCCTCTTCCCAATGTGGCCACATTGGATACGTCTCCTTTCTTAGCTCTGCACTGTGAGGTATCTGCCTGTTGAGATCAGTCTATGCCCCGTTCTGAGTTACTCCATATTGAGAGTAAAACAGTGTTCTTTCAGACAGTGCCTTTCAATTTTGCAAGCAGCTTTTTGTTGGGAGCCGACTCTGAGCAGAAAGCAGCCATCTTGAGCCATATACCCTGACAAGAGACTTGTTTTCAACAGCCTACAACAGCTGAGCACACTCTGATAATTATCTTGATATACCCATGATTTCCTTTCAATCAAGGCCAGGCAGTGGTGGCACATGCCTTTAATCCCAGCACTTGAGAGACTCAAGGCGAGACTTGAGGAGAGATATAAAAGGAGAGACTTGAGGAGAGAACAGAGCAGACTCTGTCTCATCTCCAGATCAGACTCTGTCTCCATTCTTCGAGTCTCCATCCCCACTCTCTCTCTTGCTAGGCCCTGACCCTCGGACCGGAGCAGCAGAACGGGCCGTTACAGCTTTTGACTTCATTTTGAGGATGAAGGAAGATTATCCTCCTGAGTGGACAATCAAATGTCTGGATATGCATGAGCACATACACTACACACATGCACACACTGCATACACTCATAGATATGCACACAGATACACACATGCATACACACACATGCACACACTGCATACACACTCATACACACACTGCATACACACACAGATATGCACACAGATACACATACATACATACATACATACATACATACATACATACACACACATACACACACATGGACACACACACAGGACTTCAAGCACAGCATACAATATGCAAGGGCTTCTCACCATACTGACAACAGTTTCTTAGATACAGCTTGACTTACTTACTCCCTCCCTCCTTCCTTCCCTCTCTACTTCCCTCCCTCCTTCCTTTCCTTTTTCCTTCTCCCTTCCTTCCTTCCTTCCTTCCTTCCTTCCTTCCTTCCTTCCTTCCTTCCTTCTTTCCTTCCTCACTTTTTCCCCTTTAAACAAAACAAGGTTTCAATAGATTCCCAGACTGACCTCCAACTAGCTGTGTAGCTGAGAATGACTTAAATTCTAATTCTCCTGCCTCTACCTCTCAAGTGCTGGAATCACAGGTATACACACACACACACACACACACACACACACACACACACACACACACAACTTATTCAGTGCCAGGGCTGCAGCCCAGGCCTTCCTGCAGTTTAGGCAAGCATTCTTCCCTCTGAGATACAGGCTTGGACGAGACTATTTGTCAGGCAATACTAATTCACAACACTTTCAATACTAATTCACAACACTTTCAATACTAATTCACAACACTTGATTTCTCTGGCCACTCTAATCTCTGCTGGACTCCTGAGCAGGGCTTCGTCGGGTCTGCATGCACTGACTTGCCTTCTGGTCTCACGCCCCAGTCGTAGCCAGAGCATTCCCTCTGCTTCATTCTAAAGATGCACCAGGCTAAAACTTGTTGGCTTCCCAGGCTGGGCTGTCCCTCCTCCCAATCTCCTGGCAGGAGCTGAGTCATGTGCAAGTCTGGGCTGAGGACCATCTCTCCCAGGAAGCAATGCAGAGTGTCATACTGAATGATGTATCACTGTGTCCTGTCTGTCTCCCATGAACGTCAGGCTGTGCTCTGCCTTAGTCAGTGTACATCCCAGAAAAGGAACTTTGTAGATGTTGGCTGAATTAAATTAAACTTTGGTAGGGTTAGTCCAAATGCCCACATCTAGCTCCGAAAAATTATTCTCAGGTTTTTCCCTGCATCACAAAATACTCCATGTGTTTGTGTTTGTTACTAATAGACTAGAGTGTTTTGTTTTGTTTTGTTTTGTTTTGTTCTGTTTTGTTTTTCAAGACAGGGTTTAGCCCTGGCTGTCCAGGAACTCACTCTGTAGACTAGGCTGGCCTTGAACTCAGAAATCTGCCTGCCTCTGCCTCCCAAGTGCTGGGATTAAAGGCGTTCATCACCACTGCCCAGCTAGAGTGATTTTCAAATTATGTTTCCCATCACAGGACCTCGAAAGCTCTGCACCCTGAAGTGTAAGGTTGTCAGGGAAAGCACCAGGATGGACAACACTGTTGAGCTCTGTGCCCTTGGGGTGGGGCTTTCAGAGGCCATACCCAGGAGCCCCCAATTCTTCAGTACCCTTTACTTTCTCCTTTCCTCTCCTGATCACCTTGGTGGTTTTCCAGCTGAGCTGCTTGGGCCTACACATTGCATTGATTTCCCTTCTGATCCTGGGCTCAACTGGATCAAACTACCCTTTTCTCAACACCACCCTAATGAGTTTCCATCAAGAACCCAAGGACACTAACTAGGCCATAGGCATAGTCCAGATAGCAATGGAGCATCCTAGAGAGAGAGGGATGGGATGGGACTAAGCACCTAGGACTGCGAGTCTCCACACTTTTTCTGTTTTCGTGTCCCAGTGATTAAGCAACATGTTTCTGTACGCTGTACTGGCTGGCAGATGCTTCCTTCTCCTGTGACAGTGATGGCATGTGTGTATTAAAACGCAGTTTCTGATCTTGTTTTCCCACAGCTCTGGGATCAAGGCCAGTGCCTGGTACAAGTTAGAGAAGCACTCTGCCTGCGGTCCAGCTATTTTTAACAAGATTTTGCTAATTTGCCTAAGAAACTCAAGATCCTCCTGCCTCGGTCCAGAATCAATGTTTGATAGTCATAGAACCTGGAACTTTCTATGGGATCCACTTTATTGCCCTCTCTTTAATAGGAGATTTTTCTTCATTTCTGTGGAGGTGTTGGTCCTGAGCAAAAAAAAAAAAAAAAAAAAAAAAACCTTCCAGACAAACTGCCAGGCGAAACACCTGGGAAAATGGGCATTATCCAGACACTGAAAAATCAGATATTTTGGGTGGTAGCATATCTTGGTTGGTAAAGCCCTTGCCTAGCATCTAGCACACAAAAGGCCCTAGCTTTAATCCCAAGCATGCACACACACACACACTCAAACAATACCACAAAAACACCCATACCTGATGGTAGACTACAATAGGCTTCCTCCCAAAAGATCCTAGCTCAGGTTGGT